TGGTCAACATGGTGAAACCCATCTCTACTAAAAATAGTAAAATTAGCCAGGTGTGGTGGCGCATGCCTATAGTCCCAGCTACTCAGGAGGCTGTGGCAGGAGAATCACTTGAACCTGGGAGGCGGAGCTTGCAGTGAGCTGAGACTGCTCCATGGCACTCAAGCCTGGGCAATAAGAGTGAAACTTCTGTCTCAAAAAAAGAAAAAGAAAAAGAAAAAAGAAGAGAAAAGATGTTTGTTTTGACTCACGGTTCTATAGGCTGCACAGGAAGCATGGTGCCGTATCTGCACCTGGTGAGGGCTTCAGGGAGTTGACAGTCGCGGCAGAAGCTAAAAGGGAGGGGCGTTATCAGTTGGTGAGAGAGGGAGCAAGAGATAGGAGGGGAAGGTCCCAGACTCCTAAACAACCAGGTCTTGAGTGAGCTGAGCAAGAATTCACTCATCACCAAGGGGACAGTGCTAAGCCATTCATGAGGGATCTGCCTCCATGACCCCAATACCTCCACTAGGCTCCATGACCAGCACTGGGCATTACATATCTTCTTCTTCTTCTTTTTCTTTTTTTGAGATGGAGTTTTGCTCTTGTTGCCCAGGCTGGGTGGAGTGGAATGGTATGATCTCGGCTCACTGCAACCCCTACCTCCAGGGTTCAAGCAATTCTCCTGCCTTAGCCTCCAGAATAGCTGTGATTGCAAGCGTGCACCACCATCCCTGGCTAATTTTTGTCCTTTTAGTAGAGACACGGTTTCACCACGTTGGCCAGTCTGTTCTTGAACTTCTGACCTCAGATGATCTGCCCTCCTTGGCCTCCTAAATTGCTGGGATTACAGGTGTGAACTGCCGTGCCCAGTTTCAACATGAGATATGAAGGGGACAACATCCAAACCATATCAGGAGGTTTCAGCTGAGACCGTAAGGATGAATAGTATGAGCCAAGCAGAGTGGGAAGAAGAGGATTCCATGCAGAGGGACTGGCACGTCCAAAGGTCCTGGGGTAGAAAGAAGCTGGTCAGGTTACCTCATCTCCAAGTGGTGACTCAGAGATCGAGGATCCGTTCCATCCTTAACATCACAGTAGACAGGGAGTGGACGGCTGTGCATTGATGTGGCATGTTTCACTTCTGCCCACGTCTATTCGCCCAGCACTCATCCCAGTGTCTTATCCTCTGGGTTAGGAAAACTGGTTTTACTGAGGGCTCAGGAAGAAGAGGGCACAGAAGTTCCTCACTCTCAGTAGCCTCTGCCACAGAGGGACCGGGCCAGACAAGTCCTTGGTAGTGTTGGTTGGGACCTGGATCTGTATTCTTGGAGCAGATGATCTGATTTGCATTTGGTCACAGATCCAAGAAGGTATTAACATAAAGAGCTGCTGCCAGCCATGACCCCAGCGTTCCTCCCCGGAGGAAGGAGTCGTCCTGTCCACTTCGTAGCATCATGGCCTAACAGAACCCGTTAGGATGGTCGGATTTCCATCCACAACATGGAGGCGTGGACTTGGGCACCAGCCAGCTTCTCCCCTTCCTCACACTCCCATGGCCTCTGTTGCTGCAGCTCTGGTGTCTCTCAGGGGGACCTGAGAGGACTCTCAGCTTTCAATAGATCAGGCAGGTAACTTGCAGAGCTAGGGTTCCAGGTAAATATGATCCCCGGGCCATGCCTGGGCTCTGGTTTCTTAGGCAGGGTGGGAGGAGTAGGTGGCAGTGGCTGAGCCAGCCTGGTGTGTTTGGCTATCCACTGATGGGCTCAGGCCAATGGTGGGCCAGAGACTGCCTGGAGTTTGCTATCAGATAAGCCCTGAGCCCAGATCATAGGCCTAGGATAGCCCAGGACCTGGAGCCCTCTTTGATCTGTCTTCTGGAACCTGATTTGGGGTTCCTAGGCTTGCCCTGTGGATTTCAGGATACCCTTTAGTTAGGTAAACATATGAGCCCTGGGGCCTGGGATGGGAAAGGGAAGGGAAGTAGTGTGGTTCTTAGCCATTCTTGTCCTCTCTGGCAACATCAAAATCTCCAAGGTGGGCACCTCTAGAAATCTCTTTTTTTTTTTTTTTTTTTT